GAGAGAGAGATTGATATCTACCTGTTGGTACCATGGAGTACGTAATGTTTGTCAGTTGGAACCGCTTAACCACCCCAGCTTTCTTCACCCCAAGGAGGTGTGGGGGATCCTTGAAATTTGTACACTCTTGGAAAGGGATACAGCAAACAAATGATAGCCTGCTAACGTGGTGTGAACTATCATGCTACAGTGTAGTATGGTACCCAAATATGTCAACATCCAATCTAATCTATCAATACTCTATCAATCAACTACCGGCACCGTACCGGAATGTAAAGTAAGCTTGAAAGAGAGGCTGATTGAATGATTAATCGACAGGAGTCCAAAACATGACGTAATCACAACTTCATGGCTCTGTTTTGTTTTTTAAACTGAGCGGTGCTTGCGTTGGCGCTTGTGCTTGGCTGGCGGCACCCGATGCAGCCGCCATTCTCCTTCCTCTTTTCTTTGCTGCTGCTGCTCTCATCTCACAATCCCAGCCTCGAGAAACTTGGAAAGCACTTTCCAAACTCCTCCGTTCTACACTTACTTTGATACTTTAGCAACCAACAAGATGTCCGGCCGTGGAAAAGGAGGAAAGGGACTTGGCAAAGGTGGTGCCAAGCGTCATCGTAAGGTACGAACGACCATGGCAATTCGTGCGGTACATGTAGCTCGAGAAAGATCCTCACACTTTGCTGAATTCGTATTATGTAGGTGTTGCGAGATAATATCCAAGGTATTACCAAGCCTGCTATCCGTCGTCTTGCTCGTCGTGGTGGAGTGAAGCGTATTTCCGGACTGATCTATGAGAAACCCGAGGAGTGTTGAAGGTCTTTCTCGAAAATGTCATTCGTGATTCTGTGTAAGTGAAGCAGCCTAGTGCTGCGGATTCATTGCAATGCTATCATTATCCACGCTATCATCGACGATGATTCGATTCTGACATCTCATTTCTCTCTACATGTAGTACCTACACGGAACACGCTCGGCGCAAGACTGTGACGGCCATGGATGTCGTCTACGCGCTCAAGCGCCAGGGAAAGACCCTTTACGGATTTGGTGGTTAGATACCTCCCTTCATTGACGATGTCGTGGGCTGCGGATTATTTTTACTATTCAGACTTCCAGCTTCGGACGATGATTCCAACACAACAAGACCACTGAAAATGGACACGACAATCTCCAATGAAAGACAAAAAGCAAAGAATGAACGAATTGTGGCGATGGGGCCACTGATGAATGAAGGAATGAATTTGGCTAGACTGTAATGCTTCTCTATTTAGCTCGTCTAGTCACTATTATGCATTTATGTAAACTTTTGCTGCCTCTTCAAATCTTCCGTACCGTAGCTAACTACCCAGCTAGTAGAAATCATCGTCGTTATTGCGGTAGAAGTCGTCATCTACAATCCGTCCTCGCAACATGCTGGTTTTGGTGGATGTGGTCTCGTCACTGTTCTTTCCGGACTGGACCGCAAAAAAGATGAGTAAGATGATCCCGCTCAAACAGCCACCACAGAAAATTCCGGCAATGATGAATAATTGTGGTTGTGATAACTTGGATAGCGCGCCATCCTTCTTGTTGTTTGTACGATTTCCGGCAGTGGATGGATTGACGGCATTGTCGACATTCATGATTGGAGTAAAACTGTCGCCTGCACTAGCCATGGGGACGAGTGGAGGAGTTGGTGGATTAGTAGTATTCCGCATGTCTTCTTGGTTTGTCCACATGATGCCATCTCCACTTTGAATGCTCCGTTCCTCCTCTTCGCTAATGGGAGCCGGCATCCAATCACGCATACTACTGTTATTGTTGGCATTGGCATTGCTCTTGGAAAAGGAACCCCGTTTCTTTCTTCTTCTTCGAGCTGCTACTCGAATTGCGAGAAGACATGGATTGTCGGGTATCCGCAGAGAATTGACTATCCTCGTCGTCGTCCTCGTATATCACTCTTGCTTGTCGAGGTTGATGGATTTTCGTTCTCGACGGTGGCTGAATTGCCCCACTTTCGGCCGAGAAATCGTCTTCATCACTAAAGTATTCCAGAACACGGTCCTCGCTTGATTGTGTCGGCTTTTGATTGTTGCTGCTATTATTATTATTGGCCCGAGCCGAATTAGCTGTCATTTCCGAACCCATGGATATGTTGTCGTCTTCGGTTGTGTCTAGGAGGTTGACACTTGTGGGAATGCTGGTGTTACTGGCAGCAGATGGTCGCTGTCTGGTTCTCGTGGTGCTGTTTCTGGATCTCTGACTTGTTTGGCTTGGTCGTCGAGACTGTCTCGTATTGTGCTGGCTAGCTTCTCTGTCTTGAGTATCTGTCGTATTCGTTGCTTGCTGTGATACGGTGGAAGATTCCTCCGAATGATTCGTTGGAGCTCGAGCTGGCATGGAACGGGAAGACGATTCGAAGGACTCCTCATCGTTGGATTGTTGTTTTCTTCTAACAGATGCCGAATCTTTTTGAGAGTCAGACGAGGTGTCTGCTCTGGAAGAGGCACCGCTGTTGCTAGTATTGGAAGATCGACGTTTGGTGTTTTTCTTGGTTGTGGAAGATCTTCGACGGCCACTAGTTCCGGAAGCGTTGCTGCTGTTGCTCATGGCGAGGTCTTCTTCTTTTGATTCCTCTACTACTAGATTGGTCTCCGTTGCTTCTGGTGGATCTGGTGGAGTCGCTTTGAGTTCTGCTGGTTCAGGCCATCGATCACTGACATTCATGCTATCTTCCCATCGCTCACTCTGACTCATGTCCATGGCGTTGCCATTGCCATTTTGCTGTTGTTGCTTGGCTGATTTGATTCTCGTTTTCACATCTCCCTTGACCACTTCCAATTTTTCTCGTGACTTGAACGAATAGACCAAGTCGTCGTGACCATCTTCGAGCAGTGTCACCTTTAATCGATCACTGGCGCTTCCCGCCTTGTTGGCAGTGGCCTTGTGCAAAGAAGTCCAAGGCCATTCCTCTGTGGTCAGACCATCGTCTCCAGCAAAACTCAACACTGTGGGGGTCAAAATCAAGCTACCAACCGATTTGCGGTACTTGACGGGGCGGTGCAAGGCAGTGGATGACATTGTTTCTTTTCCCTTTCCTCTCCTGGAACGGCAACAATATCCATATCATCTTTTCCTCGTTGTCTCCTCGATCTGTTCCAGCGTTGTTGTTCTGATTATTCGAATGAGTCGATTTGGTTTAAATCGATTTAACCATCCGATTCGAACTTAAGAAGTACAGCTCTATTGGCTTGATGATTTACACTGGATCACCAGAAGACCCACTGCAGAGTGCGGAAATGGGACTTAAATCTTTAAAAAACCACCGTTTAAAGAAGCTGTGTGAAACTAGTACTAGTTTCACGTTTGAATGCGTGAAACTATGTTCAGTCGTGTGTGAAACTAAGTTCAGTCGTGCGTGAAACTATCTCTATCGCTCTATCGGTAGTAGTCACTAGTAAATCTTGCTTGAAACTAGCCGTTAGTTCTTGCGTGAAACTACCGTTGTTCTGCGTTGAAACTAGCAAGGTTTCACGCAGGCCTGCGTTGAAACCTTAGTTGTATTACTCCTTCGAGGAATTCCCCGACTCCGGGAATTCCTCCACTATATCTCAAATGTTAGAAGGAAGCATTAAAGGGAAAGGGAATGGGGGGAAGGAATTCGGTCGTACAACACGACAAGAAGAAATACAACGAACCCGCGACAAGAGACAAAACAAACAACAATAGAATGCAAGCAACGAAAAAGGAACCGGAACCGATCAATATTCTTCTGTATAGGACATCCAACGCCTGGACGACCCCAATACACAAGGTAATCAACGACCTCAAGAAGAGCCATGGCCTCGAATGTATTAGAACGTCTATGTCCTACCATTGATTCACCAACCTGCGAGAGATGTTCATGGGCGACCTATCGAGGAAGCTCACCAAAGACGTCATCTCCACCGAGTTCCAAAATGAAACTTGCAATCTGCAAGCCAGGAAACAAGAAAGACGGCCAATGCGTTTTGACGACCGCTGCAGAAATAAACTGATCATATACTGCATCAAATGCATTAACTCGGGCAAAGAATACGTTGGGGCAACCCAACGAACGTCAAAGAACGAACATACAAAACTTCACCGACGTCATGCGTTCCTCTACGGAAACGCAGTCAGATTCTATGCAAGACACTTCGCCAACGAATTCCAAAACTTCGCATCTCCTTCACCATTCCGACTCAACGGCGACATTCAAAGGAACAGCATCGAAATTAGCATCCTATGGCAAGGCAACCCTATCAGCACTGTCAAGACCTTCGGGACACGACACTGCAGCCTATGCAACAGGGAGCGACTCGAGATACTGAAACGATCCAGAGAATCGCCAGAAAACCTGATCAACTCCTGCAACGAAATATACGGAGCATGCCGACATAAACCTCGATTTCATAAGTACCACAATAGCCCAAGCACTGATGATTCCCAAGGGGGGTAAAAAAGTCAAACAACCGAAAAGTTACCACAGAGTAAAGCCTGTGTTTTGGCGATTCGGCAGTTTGTGCTGATCAAGAGTAAAACTACTTAATTCAGTCACTTTTTGCTAAAATCGTATGACCTGTGTAGACTAGTACTGATTCATGACTCGCAGTCACGTTCAGGACTAGTCAGTCAAATTCCTGCTCCTTCAAGGAATTGGGGAATTCCTCCATTCCCCTCAGAATTCCCCGGCTCAAAAAGGGCAAGGAATAAGGAGTACTGTGTACAACTAAGCGTGAAACTAGCTTGAAACGGTTAGTTTCACTCAGGCTTGCATGAAACTAACTCCTAGTAGAGATCTAGTTTCACCCAAGCCGTAGTTTCACGCAGGACGGTTAAATCTTGTTTCAGCACCCTGTTGGTTCGAGGTTTCCATTTCCGCCTCCAACAACCCCAAGGAAGCAATACAGCTGGCCAGCATGTGTATCCAACATCCATGAATGGTTCGCACCCAATAACACTAACTTGAACAGCTCTTGAACCGACTTTGTGACACCACGAATTGGGGTACCTGATGGGCTCCTGATGGCTCCAAGACTGATAAAACGATCAAACCACTCAACTACACTACATGTATCCCCTCATCAACATTCGTTGAACAGAACAAGGAACACGAGGATGACACTTTTAGCTCCCAGAGAAAGCAGGTTATGGCGACAGCTTTTGTTCCTTGTGGCAATGCAGTTCCGTTTTGGCTTTTCTTTGCCGTACTTGATGACTTGCTCGCGATACCAGCTGCCATTCTCTCAAGATATTATGATACCGCCCCAGCTACAAAGTCCCCGGAGGGATTAAGTTCTATAATTAGATTTGATGATACCGCCCCATCTGCCATGGCTAGACCTCTACTAGTACCAGGTGGTAGTAGCTAGGAACTGCACAGACTTTAGAAGTCTTCTGCTTGACTACGAACTTCATAATGGCTACTTGCTAGCTTGGAGTATTGGTTTATTGGCTAATGCTCGACTCGACTCGGTTGGGCGCAGCAACTTCAAGCGAAGCCCCACCCAAAAGGCTGGGCGTACTAGTACATAGCCAAGAGATAGCTGCCCTGTTTTTACTGCATACTCCGGCTCCACCAGCTTTTACCAGTAGTAGGTAGTCAGAAACAGGCCAGTGAGGTCACCCGAGTTTGTCGTGTGGAGCTCGTTTGGTTTCTGTGCTCTGTGCTCGCTGCATTCCTGGAAAGTAGTCAGACACGAGCAATCCGATGCAACGGTCCATGCATATGGCACTGTGAGGTGTGGTCTTGCAATTCGCACCTCGCCTGAGCTCCCGAGAAGACAAAATAAATAAATGCACAGAATCACAGAATCAGATGCACGGAAGCTCAATGGTTTACCTTTAGAACTGTGCATGCTGGATGCAGAGCAGTTGGAACGACAGTTGCCGCAAACTTAGTTCCTCCCTCCTTATTCCTTGGATTCCTTTGAGCTCTCTAGATATTCCAGGAATGCAGGAATTCCTTGACTCCTCCAAGGAGCAGGAATTCCCCCAAGGAATGTTACAACTAGAGCTAGAAGGAGTGTTGAGGGAGTTCCTCCACCAAAGGAATTCCTGCACTGATTCCTTTTACTTTGGTTAAACTAGATGCTATTTTGGCCACAAGTGCCCATAGAACAGCCTCAACAAGAGGCATAGGCACCACCCATTTCAGAGTTGATGGAGGCAATGATGCCTTCTAAGCGTTCCTGGACTTTTTGGCTACAGGAGCTAGAAGCTCCTCTTCATCATCCTCATAATCATCATCCTCATCCTCATCATTGTCAAGATCAGCTACAGGAGCCACCACTGGTGCAGCCACAGGAGCCACTGCAGGAGCTGCAATTTCGGCATCACCAGGCCAGCTGTCCCATTCACCATTTTCATCCAAGCTGCGGGGATTGTGGATAACATTCATTCTGCGATCAGGATGGTTCTTGTAGTAGGTGAAGACAAGTCCATGAAGGTAGTCATCAATCTCGAACCACTCGAGGGAATCAACATCATCCTCGTTCCTGGCCCTGTTTGCATCCCAGGCCTTGAGTACCCATCGGCCGACACTCTTCCTTCCAATACGTTTCTTCTTGAAGACCATCTTGCGCTCATCAACGACATACGTGCGGCTTCCATCCCACTCTGAAAAGACAATACCACCATACTTGCGGAGGAGCTTCTCCATATTGATAGGAGTGCTCCTGTCAATGATCTGAAGTTCCCAGCCCTCGGTGTAGGCCTTGTAGACACGTCTGTTCTCGTTGTTGGATTCCTCCAGCTTCTCCTCCTGACAGTATTTGCCAAGGTTGAGCCGTTCCAAATCCGCCTCCTCTGGGAACTTGTATTGCTCCCATGCTTGTACTGGCGACGGAGCCAGGCACGTTCGGCACATGCCGCACCGAAAACAGTGCACTGCATTTGTGCCATTTGGGGCGAAAGGTGGCTTCGCTTGCCGGTCTTGCAGTGCTTGACAGCTCCCCAGCAGCGTTCGGCATTACCAATGCCGCAGATCTTGGAAGTAACCTTGCATCCAAATAGGCCCAAATACTTTGTATCTCTGAGGCTGTTTCGCCTATGGAACAAGTGACTCTGGTTTGTAAAGACTTCATCTGCCTCCCAGATGTGGTTGCGGCCAAAGATCGGACCAGTACGGGAACTGAATTGCTCATGCTCTTTCCAGAACGTGTTGATGATCTCGCTTTTGACCTCGTCCTCATCGTCCCTGGAGACGTCATTCGGAAGAAGCAACTTGATCAGAAGTTCCTCAACCTGACTCCTAAGCATAACATCAAGGTTCAAAGCACAGTGCCTTTGGATTTCCGGGTGAGGGCACATAACATAGGCACTAATACAGAATGGGTGCAAGAGCGCGTTCCCGCGGTGCAGCCACTTCTCCCGAACCATCCGCCCAAAGCCGGTCGGATCCTCATAGATGGCCTCGTCATCGGAATCGTATGCAGAGTATTGTGGCCATTCCATATCTTCTGGCTCCAATCCGTCGTAATCCTCATCTTCGAAGTCTAACGCCAAGTCTTGGAGAGTACAGTTAGTCATCTCCCAATCACCAGCCACCACCGTTGTAGCCGCCTCGTCCCATACTCGCTTATTAGCCTGCGCTGGTGTCAAGTTGCGGTCTTTGTTGAGACCAACATCTGGCTCGTTCGGATCCGCTTCGACATCCTTAGACTTGGTGAACTCCGTCATCAATCTCTTCAACTCTGGAGCCTTTTGGTCAAGGTAGTTCAGGTTGTTCTCCATCTTGAGCATCATCTCGGATGTCTTCTGGTAGTAGAAGTAAAGCTTGTCCATGGCAGCTGCATTCAGATCGGCAAGACGAAGCAAACGAAGAGGACCATAGAAGGCACGGCACACATGATAGATGAATACCCAAAATTCGGTCATCTTTAAGATTTGGACCAAAGCCTTCGGCATAGCACTCTTACCCTTCATTGCACGGAAGTCGGGATCTGCCAGAAGGGTACGGAAGGTATACTTGTGGCGGAATAGACGAAGCAAAGCAATGAAGAATCCTCCCATGCGAGTCTCAGCGTAACAGATCAATCCCAGTGGAGTGTTCTCGTTGTGCATCCTGGAGTGTTCAATGAACATGGCATGGACCGCATGATGAGAGCCACCTCCGCACCAGTTGTAGATCTGTCGGTACACCTTGATTAAAAGCTTTCCGACTTGCATCTTGGCGACATCTGAAAAGAACAATCCGATGACATGCTCCGCCCCATGAATCGTGCTAATCCTTGGGTAGCGGGCCTCAAGAATCCTTCCGGCTGACTGAACATTAGAAGCTCCATCCACAATGAAAATATCAACAAGGTCTTGCTTCTTGGGATCCAAGACCTTAATGTGCTTTTCACACTGATCAGCAATGAAGGGGCCGTCCTTCTTACCTCCCTTGGCGTTGATTTCAGTGCAATCATAAATCTCTAGGACAGCCGCATGGGTATGGCCACCAGTACCGAGGAAGTTGTACATGCTCTTCTTCTTGATGGTAGCTCCATCACAATAGAGGCCAATTCCAAAGATATCAGCATCACGCTGAAGCCTTTCCACATTCTCATTGTACTGGCGCTCAAACATGACCCGAAGATAGTCACGAGAGATGGTGTCAGCACCAGGCGGCTTGTAGTCCAAAGGAAGGTTCCTCGCAATCTTGAGTAGCATCTTCAGATTAGGATCCTCCGCCAGAGTAAAAGGATAACCACCTTCCACAGTCATTTGGGCGACAATAAGGTCAGCATCCAAGGCACACTGGGACTTGCACTTGCGTGAGTTCGCGCCAATGAACGAATCCAAACTGAGCTGATAGCCGGAAACAGAACTGACGCTACCTTTTCCGGACTTGGCCACATTGTAAATGGCAGAAGAAGAACCACCACTCTTGCTAGTAGCCAACGACGCAACAGATCCAGAACCAGATTCTTTCAAGAAAGCTTTGACTTTGCGGCCCTTCCCGGCTGACACAAGTCGATCACGAACCTGATCCAGCTTGGCAACCTGCCTTTCCTCAGTCTTCTCCTGAATTCCACGAATCTTGTTCCTCTTCTGCTCGACCTGACTCCAACAGGACTGGTAATAAGCAGCTTGTTCAGCTGGCTGAGTAGCCAAACAGATCTCAATGCCATTGTTCCTGACCTTGGCAAGATGCGCTTTGACCTTGAGAGCATTCCCATACTTGAAGGTACGTTCGCAATGAAGACACTGCCACTGATCACAAGGAACTCCCTGTCTAGGATTCGCCTTGGTAACCTTGACCGACAACCAAATATTGATAGCTGTAGTACCGCTGTTGGAGGAAACATACCTGACACCTCTTTACTATTGACTCGTGTATTAATCATCTAGTCCGGTTCGCATGTAAATTGATCATGCAAGGAACCAAGGGAGTTTTAGGTCTAAAGTGTTGCGGGGGTCCTTATATCCAATTCAATCACAAGAATTGCTATGCACCACCAGAAAATCCTCACTTTTGCTTTACAGCTTAATCCAAAACCAAATTACTCCCCAATAAGCTGCAGTTTTTCTAGCTAACACTGTAAAGCAAAAGGCCATCTCGAGTTACTACTACCGATCTCGAGATCGATATCAAGGTAAAACATATCAAGTCAAAGTGTATTGAGTCAAAGTGTATTGAGTTAACACCTGCA